TGCTAATGTGACCAAGAATACTTCCAGTATTCTTGCTCATATTAGGATATTAGTTAGTATATCGTCATGGATATGAGACCTATTTATATTTCTCTCATCGAGTTATTAGAATAAAGCTTTTAGCTTTCACTATATTCTAGACTTTTTTAGGATGTACATATATAAAATGCTATTTATAAGTCTTTAAATATGCTTGAATGAGACAGAATTAATTTTCTGCTAATAATTTTTATATATAAGTGAAACCTTTTTTTTACGTGGGGGAAACGCCCGCCCTTTGCCCCACATGATGTTCCACCTAGGCGTATATCGGCAGAGCCACCGGAACGCTTTCGCAGACTTCCGTGACCTTGCCAGCGCTGGCCTCAATGAGCCTTACTGCACAGGCCGGCACAGTGTGGGTTCCTGTTAGTTTGTGTCACCCTGTTAGTGGGTGACCAAGCCACGGCTAATCCCCTCCGCCTCATCAAAGCGAGAACCCGGAGGGGATTTATAAGTGAAGCCTACAAAATATACCGACTGTTGTTCATTTGTCTACATAGGATAAGTTTTTTAAATGTGACTTGTAAGCGCTATTTGATGATGGGCCAGTGTGTAATTAATTAGCGTAAGTTCTTCCCATATGATCGCTGTGAGATTCAATTAAAATTTATTAATTAACCGTGATAGCTCATTTTACGGGTGCTCGCTTTTAATTGCATATTAATATATGAGCAACCTGAGTTCCATCCCCGGTGCCGGCACCAATGAAAAAGCAAAACTGGCCAAAATGCGAGTCGGACTCGCACTCGAAGGGTTCCGCAAAACGTTATGTCTATGGGAGCCCCACTTAAATATTTTTTAGTATTTTTTGTTATAGAGCCAACAGAACGGTGGTAGGGCCACGCAGCAGCCTGGTCTGTTGCACGAATGGGCAGGCCCATCCGGGTAAGTACCACGACCTCACAGAAGACCAGCGTAAGGTGGAATTATGAAAAATACTTTCGTGTTTCGTCTGGTAAGTGGGCTAGCCGGAGCCCAATTTTTAAAAGGTTGTCAACGCATCTGTAACCCTCGGGTGTAGCAGATGTCCATGGGCGGCGGTATTTACTTACCATCAGGTGAACCGTCTGCTCGTTTGGCAACTTTTCACATTAAAAAAAATCATAGTGTCCCACCGTTTCGTCCCGATATTGACCGTGGGTTTGATATTGCCTGGACCGGGATAAGGTGCGACGATTCTTCCGCGGGGCAACACGTTTCGCGGCAGCTAGACGTCTACGATCTACGCTAGATCACAGATTGGTACACTAACTCCGCGTCGGCGTGGATCCCGCTGGTGTGAAGCTGAATCTGGAGATCTCGTCGGTCTCGTTGAAGGTAGCTGATTGTGGCACTCATCCATTGACCCCAGTATGATTTGGGTAAGTATTTAGGTCTTCCACGGATACGTGAATCGTGGTGGCTCCCATGACTTTTTTTACTATGTTCCGCCCATGATATGTGCGGCGGGTGGGATGAATCACCAGGATATAGTTTTCTTGGTGGCTTCTTCCATGGTTGCTGCTTCTATTGCTTTTCGCAATCCTTTCTCAGCTGAAGCTGAAAAAAGTAACAGATATCTATTAAGGTTTTCGTAACGTTAATTTAAATTACCTATTTAAAAGGCCACACATTACTCACAACTTAAACTCCCAAGTCCAGTGTAGAACAGTGTTTTAATTAACATACCACAGTCGTCCTTCAGATACTAGTATTAATTTACAACGCGGCTATAACCGAAGGCTTCGTCCCGTCCGAGTGGAAGGAAGCTGTTTTTATAGGGTTCCTCAAACCCTCTAAACCCGCCACTCTCCCAACCTCATATCGCCCAATAAATCTTCTCAAACCATTTGGGAAGATCTTTGAAAGACTAAAATTAGCCCGCTTTAGATCCCTTATGGACGCCAAAGGGCTCCCCATCCCAGAGCAGTTTTGATTTAGGGCCAAACATTCCAACCAAGTGCACCGCATCACGGAGCACATTCTAAGTAAACGTCAACGCGGACTCAACATCGGAGCACTCTTCCTGGATGTGGCAAAGGCGTTCGATAAAGTCTGGCACAACGGGCTCTTATACAAGTTATACGGGTACGGAGTGCCCGACCGTCTCGTATGCCTAATAGGAGACTTCTTAAGTAATCGGACCTTTCGCTATCGCGTCGAGGGCATGTGTTCGACAACGCATCTCGTTTGAGCCGCGGTGCCCCAAGGGTCGGTGTTGGGCCCAGTCTTGTTCAAGCTCTACACCAATGACATGCAACTTTTCACATTAAAAAAAATATATCATCTGTGAAAATTTCAACTCTCTAACTGTTACGGTTCATGAGATAGAGCCTGGTGACAGACGAACAGACAGACAGCGAAGTCTTAGTAATAGGGTCACATTTTACTCTTTGGGTACAGAACCCTAAAAAGGACATAACTAGAAAGACTTTGAAATGCGGAAATTGAATCTTATTTCGCATACTTAAGAACATGCGTGGGTTCGGGATGGACTCATAAACACTCAATGCTACATCGATCCGATTATTACGAGTATTCAAAATATAATGAAACGCGAAAAAATACATCGTTCCATTTAATAATGGCAATATTTGCATAAATATAAATATAAGCCTTAATTACCATTATTAGATTATTCAATTTTTTAAAAACTTTGTACAACTAAAACCATTACAATGTTCGTAAACAATACTTACTTGAATTTACAACTTTGAGTATTAATTTTTAGAGAAATATTGGAACATTGCCAAAAACGGTTTTCCATTTGCAATAACTTTGCGTGCCATGTCATAAATTTAGGAATGGTTTGTTGTCGCTCTGATACAAATTATAGGAGGAAGATAATATTTTAGGAGATGAGAGAATCACAACTATCAGTTAGTATAACTTTAATTTATGTAGAAACACTTTTTAATTTTTGTCAAAAGTCAAAGTTTGATTTAGTGAAAATTTATTTCTTCAAGGCTTTAAGGCTTTATAGTGCTAATCTTTGCCCTTTAAGATTGAACTAAAAAATACGACAAGATTGTCGCCGCTGTGGGAATCGAACCCACGTCTTCGGCAATCGCGGCCTAACGCTTTAACAACTAAGCTAAATACTAAAACCAATGTAGATAAAAGACGTTAAGATTTTCGTCGGTGTGGCAATCAGCCGTTTAGCTTAGTGGTTAAAGCGTCAGCGGCAACAATCTTTTCGTACTTTTCCTACATATTTTAATGTTCAATCTTAAAGTGCAAAGATTAGCACTATAAACAATTAAAATTTTTCAAAGCTATTCGCTTATTAATTAGAAAAATAAAAATCTAAGTTAACCTTTTTTTTGATTAGCACCTGAAATACATAATTTTTAATATAGAGTGAAGATAATAGAAAGTCACGAAATCCATACAATTGGAGAGAAGCTTACAATAATAATTAGTCAACAGGATAATAATAATGAGAAGGACTTAAAAATTTCAAGGAATCACTATCGTCATAGCACCTCAATTTGATCGGATGAGCTACTTTCAAAGAAAAAAAGCATTGTTGCAACAACACTGCATGGATTCGTGCTTGCTTGCACCTGTAATGATTCGGTCGAAAATAGTTTGCAACACAACTTACACTTGTTTCTGAAGCGCCGCGCCGTGAGCGCCTCGGGTAGTCCGCCATTAGTCGCTGAGATTAGCAAACAAATAAACTCTTCAGTTTTATAATATTTTGTATATCTATCCTCTTTTTTTGACCGCCACTTACTTCCTAATCCGGTTCAGGGCGATATCCGCCTGTGGCTCTGGTGAGCGCGCATACCGACCCTTAAAAAGCGACATGATGCTTGGTAACCAATTTAATTTTGGCAACCAATAACAAATTTTGACATTAACCAATAATTCCTTTATATCTAAATAAACCGTTATCAATTGTATTTAATGTCTTTAAACTAAAGAAGTATAACATAAACATAAATGTAGACACATGCTTTTTTATTTCACTACATTTCCTGAGTTTCAGAGTTAAGAGTTAATAATTAATGCTTAAAAACGTAAAAGCAAAGTGAACTGAAAATGGTATTTTCTTAAAAACCGATAATTAAGTTTCCTCGAGTCTTCGATTATAAACGACTGTCATCTTTTCAAGACAGCACTTACTATTCTAAAAGGAAAGAACACGCTTCGTTTGGTTAAAGCGGCAATTTTCTTTTAATTTAGTGCCTGTTCAATGTTAATAGTGTCAATTTACCCATTAATTATATCATTTAATTTCAAATTTATGTTTCAGGCAACTGTTATATAGATATTAATAAGGCCTAGCCGTGATGTCACTCGTAAAAATGTTATTTAGGATTAAAAAAATAACACAGACACCTTATCTTTCGACTTCAAAAAAGGAGTAGGTTTTGAAATCGTTTTTATTTTATGTTTGTTACAGAATGTTCAGGACTACGTCATTTATGATTAGATTTTAATTTTTTTTATTGGGTTTGGTTTAGCTTCCATGTGGTCTCATATTTTCATTGGTATTGGATCTTGGGCTCTGGAGATACTCCATGGAACGCCTGAAAATCAATCATACAATAAAAATAGAATTGTTTTGTACGAGTCACGATATAATGTTTACTTACTCATTTTGTATTAAAACCTTCAGAGAGTTTACCCAGGATAGCTTACAAGCCAACAGTAGTCATAAATACCACCCAAGAATAATTGAATTGTGTATGTTGTTATATAATGACTATTTAGGGCACACAGAATAATAAGCATAAAGTTTTCTGTTCCTTTGCTTTTCTGCCAGTTCTTTTTCTTGGCTCAGGAACCTCCGACGATGCACCTTCCGCTCACGACAGGATGACCAGTTTCGTGACTCGTGGTCATAGTGTCCCACCGTTTCGTCCCGATATTGACCGTGGGTTTGATATTGCCTGGACCGGGATAAGGCGCGACGATTTTTCCGCGGGGCAACACGTTTCGCGGCAGCTAGACGTCTACGATCTACGCTAGATCACAGATTGGTACACTAACTCCGCGTCGGCGTGGATCCCGCTGGTGTGAAGCTGAGTCTGGAGATCTCGTCGGTCTCGTAGAAGGTAGCTGATTGTGGCACTCATCCATTGACCCCAGTATGATTTGGGTAAGTATTTAGGTCTTCCACGGATACGTGAATCGTGGTGGCTCCCATGACTTTTTTTACTATGTTCCGCCCATGATATGTGCGGCGGGTGGGATGAATCACCCAGGATATAGTTTTTCTTGGTGGCTTCTTCCATGGTTGCTGCTTCTATTGCTTTTCGCAATCCTTTCTCAGCTGAAGCTGAAAAAAGTAACAGATATCTATTAAGGTTTTCGTAACGTTAATTTAAATTACCTATTTAAAAGGCCACACATTACTCACAACTTAAACTCCCAAGTCCAGTGTAGAACAGTGTTTTAATTAACATACCACAGTCGTCCTTCAGATACTAGTATTAATTTACAACGCGGCTATAACCGAAGGCTTCGTCCCGTCCGAGTGGAAGGAAGCTGTTTTTATAGGGTTCCTCAAACCCTCTAAACCCGCCACTCTCCCAACCTCATATCGCTCAATAAATCTTCTCAAACCATTTGGGAAGATCTTTGAAAGACTAATATTAGCCCGCTTTAGATCCCTTATGGACGCCAAAGGGCTCCCCATCCCAGAGCAGTTTTGATTTAGGGCCAAACATTCCAACCAAGTGCACCGCATCACGGAGCACATTCTAAGTAAACGTCAACGCGGACTCAACATCGGAGCACTCTTCCTGGATGTGGCAAAGGCGTTCGATAAAGTCTGGCACAACGGGCTCGTATACAAGTTATACGGGTACGGAGTGCCCGACCGTCTCGTATGCCTAATAGGAGACTTCTTAAGTAATCAGACCTTTCGCTGTCGCGTCGAGGGCATGTGTTCGAAAACGCATCCCATTCGAGCCGGGGTGCCCCAAAGGTCGGTGTTGGGCCCAGTCTTGTTCACGCTTTACACCAATGACATGCCACGTGTCAAAGATGTAGAACTTGCCCTTTTTGCCGACGACACCTGTCTTTATACCACAGGCAGAACACCCGAATTAATCCATCGACGCCTTCAAGCTGCGGCCATCACCATCGGTGACTGGTTTCGGCAATGGGGGATCAATATTAATCCCGCCAAAAGCGCGGCCGTCCTTTTCCCAAATAAAAATAATGTAACTAATCCACCCCCCGTTAAACTCATGGACAGCCCAGTACCATGGGTTAATAAAGTCAAATATCTAGGCGTCGTCCTCGACTCCCAACTTAAATTCACCCAGCACGTGACCCAGGTCAGGAACCAGGCCGCCTCCGTACTCGGCCGCCTCTACCCGCTCCTCAATAAAACGTCAAAAATGTCCCTTCGGAACAAGGTGACCTTATACAAGGCAGTAGTTCGCCCTATTATGACGTACGCGAGCCCTGTCTTCGCTCACATTGCTCCGAAGCAGATACACCGGCTTCAGGTCATTCAGAATCCATTCATGCGCAAAGCCACGGGAGCACCCTGGTTTATTCGCAACATCGACCTACATGTCGATCTAGAGTTGCCCACCATCGCTCAAATCCTGAAATCGGCGTCGCGCCGAAACTTCGATTCCGCCGCCTCGCATCCCAACCCGCTAATCGTAGGTGCCGTCACCTACAGACCTTTGCCGCTAGATACTTTCCGGCGCGATTACCGCAGACCGCGACACGTTCTCGACTTCCCTGACGATGAGAAGACTATCGCTATCGAAAGGATCAAAAAACTTAGAAAGCACACCAACACACATCGCACTCGCCGGCGAGTGCGGCAAACATATTTCCTAAAGGCGTTTTTCATTAAATTACCATCTATCATGTTTCTACATTTTCATAATTATAACTATATTCTTATAGTTATAATTATCAAAATTACGTTTCTCGCGAATAACATATACCATAAATCTATATGGACAAAAAGTAATTCATGACAACTTGTAGGAATCTAAAAGTCATCTGCTAAAGCCAACGTTATATTTTTAAAGCTTAACTGAAAGCGCTAACTTCAGTTAACAAATAGAAGTTATATTTTAAACATGTTTTTTGTCTTTAATTTTGAAATATTTTACAATAAACAAATATATTTTAAGCAACCCTTAAATGCATGATTTTTCCTTTGTAGATACCATAAATTGAAACAGGTAGATAATTAAACATAGATTAAGGGAAAAATAAAGAAAAATTTTTTTTTATTCTAAAAAGTATATTTTTATAAAAAAAACTTACTGATGTATATCTACATCAGTATGCATTACAGTTACTATTAAAAATGTAGCATAAGTACTATCGTATAAACGATTATCTTCGAATTAGGCTTACTGCAGTGAATGCGTAATATACAAGCGTAAATACCATTTCCGGCTCTTTATTCGAATCCGATAGCGTCCTAAAAAGCTATCCATCAGATCGACTCCGCCCATATGCATATTGTACTCTTGCACAATTTTGGGACAAGGGATGTCAATTTTTTGTTTGGCCTTCTTATCGTATCTTGAAATTTTTCCTACTGCCAGAATAGACCTCAAATCTGTAAGCATATCCCATAAGATTACAGAGAACAAAAAGCTTATAACCCCATTTGTGAGGTTTATTTGGTAAATATTGCTTTAGGAAATGTGCAATTTTAGTTGAACACATCTGCTCATCTATCGAAAGTCGTTGGTCTATTGCAACTGATGAAAATGTCGTATTTAGCTGTTCTATCACAGGTCGAATCTTATGGAGGCGATCGTGATCGGAATGGTCTCGCGGAAGATGATTATTATTATCGTTGAAATGTAAGTAGCTCCTAATCATCTCAAACCGATTTACCGGCATTGCGCTCTTTACAGGATCGTACCCAAACTTGGAATGCCAGTATGAACGTACACTAGGGAAATGCTCTACTGACATAAATAAAAGAATTCCTATGAATTTTTTTAACTCACCAACAGTAATAGAGAAAGATATTGAAGGGTTTTTTTGTACTGCATATAAGTTGGTTTCATCAACAATTTTTTGAAGAAACTCAGGTGTGAAGTTGTGCAAAAAACATTTATATGGTGTATCGAGTTCAGTTATAGCAGAGTCTGTTGTGCTTGGTTGGTGAATTATTTTCGATTCGTCATACAACAAACTGTCTTTTTTCCAAATGAGTTTCCTTTTATCAAACTCTACATTATGTTCATGACCTTCTTGCATGGGTAATGAACTAATAATTTGACTTGATGGGCCAGGCAAATCTTGAACCAGTGGTGGATCACAATAGGTAGGATCTTCATGATGCTCTGCATCCTCGTCTTCCAACTCTCGAATCATTTCTCTTGCATTAGCGAAAAAGGTTTCTTCATCTTCACTTTCATCTTCCAAGCCATCCTCAGAAATATTTCCATCTTCTAAAGTCGCCAGAAGTTGTTCTATTTCTCTATCTGCCACTTTACGGGACATTCTGGAGAAATAATTATAAAATTCATATGAATAAATTACGTATCTATAACAAATAAGTCAAAAATAAATAATAAATATATTATACCTATAGTAATACTATTTCTTGCCTATTTTGCATACTGATTTATTTCTACATCACAATTTATACCACTGATATTTACAAAAACTGTTATTGTATTCTAAAAAAAAATATATAATGTGTTTTGCTTACCTTTTTTTAGCACGCAATAATACTATTTAGTATACACTAAAATGACATTACAATTTTACCGCCAAAGTGTATATTTGAAAGTGTTGCGCCAAACGGTCAAATTATGACATATAAAAAAGTGAACTGCCATATCATGAAAGCTTGCGTTCAAAAACTAAGATAGATATTTTTAGCACCTATTAAAAGTAAAAAATACTGTATTTGAGTTATCGTTTAGAATTGATGTAAGGAAGAAAACACTGATGTATATATACATCATCATGCATTTAAGGGAATTACCGTTCGGTGATTGGTTGCGTTAATGTGTTAAATTCGCACGGGATAACTAATGTTATATAATTTGTGATATTATTAATTTGGTACAAATTTTCACTCTGAATATCGTAATACAAAATTACACTTTTTAATGGTTTTTAATGGACTGACCGCCTGCTCGTTGAAAACTTTTCAAAAAAAAAATTTGTACATAACAAACATTATGTATTTAATTGAAGTTATTTACACGTAATGGAGAATTTTTACGTGTGTACTTAAATGGCCCTTCATGTATGTAATTCCCTTTATGTTGTTGTTTATTCTTGTAAAACAATGGGATATTTGTAGTTTTGGATAAATTGTTTGTATAATGATCGGAAAATGCGAAGTTTGAAAAATTATTTTATCCATTCATAAGTAAACTGTCATAATATAACAGATAAGCATGGTACTTCTAACTTTCCTTAAATTGTTATACATTGGGTTAACTATTGTTTCGTTTAAAAATCACTTAACCTTTATATTTGGAGTAAAGAAAATTATAATAAATGGTATATTATCAAATAATACGTTTGTAACAAACATACATCTTCACAAATATTAAATTAAATCAACACGTAATCAAAACGTGTCATGTCTACTGTAGAAGAGCTTAACGTTCCTTTAATAAACAGAACGTCGAAAGCAAGCAATATAACATTCCTACTCTATAAGTTTTGTGTTGGTCATATGACAATTATTACAATTAATGTAAACTTTAGGTGTGTTTACGGTGGTAGGGCCACGCAGCCTCAGCTGTTGCACGAACGGGCAGGCCCGTCCGGGTAAGTACCACGACCTCACAGAAGACCAGCGTAAAGTGGAAGTATGATAAATACTTTCGCGTTTCGTCTGGTGAGTGAGGTGGCCGGAGCCCAATTTTCAAAAGTTTGTCAACGCATCTGTAACCCTCGAGTGTAGCAGATGTTCATGGGCGGCGGTATTCACTTACCATCAGGTGAATCGTCTGCTCGTTGGGCAACTTTTCACATAAAAAAAAATTCTATTTTGCCCAACTTTTAATTTCCCTATGATATTTCTGTAGGGCACGATCGGAAACTTGTGAATGTGAGTGTTATCATTTATGAGACACAAACAAATCCAAGTTTAGTGAGACTGAAACAGTCATACATACGTCGCGATAAACGAGCCACGAGCTCCGTAATGGATAAATTTTAAGGTCCCTAGTGATGACGCCATTTCTGACGTACCGCTCTCCTCCTACAAACAGGGCGAGATTTTTAGGTTTTTGTTAGGCTTCTTCTGTAACCCGCTATTCTGCTTGACAGGTAGCAGCCCGTACCACGTTGGGGATGCGTAGGTGACGTGGAAACGAATATATGTGTGTATTGTAGATTTCAGGATTGGTTTTTAATGGTATCTTGGACGTCACGAAAGGATACAGCTTCGCCCTCCCTGCTCTGTTCTGATCGACCAGGTGGTCGATTTGGGGGACAATTCGCAATGTGCGATCTATCCGGTATCCAAGACACGTTATCACCTTCCGGATGTTCATCACCTGACCACGCAGCTCTACTTCTCAAACGAGCCTGCCCATTCGTGCAACAGCTGAAGATGTCGCGTGGGCCTACAACTGTTTAAATATAAAATACTAGCTACTACTCGGCCAACGTTTTGCCATAAATTATTTCTAGAGGAATCGGAACGCTTTCAAAAGTCGTTTGACAGGTACAGTTTGTATTGGAAAATAAAATTGTTGCTATTTCGGTTCAATTTTTTCATAATTTCTCATCGTTTAAACCTTCCCTGGACTGCCACGAATATATCAATACCAAAATTAGCCAAATCGGTCCGGCCGTTCTCGAGTTTTAGCGAGACTAACAAACAGCAATCCATTTTTATATATAAGATTTCAATACATAAAAAGCTGGCTCGTAGCCTCTTATATTTGAAATTAATGAAATACATACTTTACCAAAATTTTGCCATCCTATTTGGGTGCTATGGATGTCCATGGGCAGCGGTATCCACTTGGTGGACCAGCCGGCTGGTTGACAACTTTTCACAAAAAAAACACTATGTATTTAATTCAAGTTATTTACACGTGATGGAGAATTTTTACGTGTGTACTTTAATGGCCTTATATGTTTGTATTTCTCGTAAAACAATGGGATATTTGTAGACTTGGTTAAATTATTTGAAAGTGTATATACTCAAAAGTAGGTTTTACTCAAATAGTTTATGTATACTAGATAATGTAGGCAACTAACGTTAAATTCCCAATCTAACTGTAACCGCTCACAGAATATTAATTTTCACTCTAATAACGGATGAACGGTAACACACTTCCGACATGAAGCGGATGGTTGAATTTAAATTGCCTTGTAACTGTAAGCATATACAATGCTTATAATATATTACGCACGTAAGAAGTTATAAGTTAGAGTAATGAAAGTAAAATAACTAAAAATTATATCACTTGTGCCAGTCCAGTACTCTTTGTTTGTGAAAATCAGACATTAAAGGTAATTGGTAAGGGTTTATTTTAAATAGTTTGGAATTATAGGTATGTCCAAGATTTATAATTGATTGCCATGGTATTACCGTGAAATTCATTATGCCACTGTCAGTGTACAACGTAAAAATTTTACCCTTATAATTTTTACAAATACGTACAATATAAGTATCAATGAAATTATTTTTAGTCATCGTCATCTTTCTTAAAGCTCGAACTGTAATACCTATTATATACCTAATTACACACGAGACACTTATTTGCATTTATACACCCATACTAGACTTTTTATATCAGAATGCATTTACTATTTTCAAATAGATAATTGCCAAAAAATACTCATTTTTCTTTACATGATAATTTCTTGTAGACAATACTTCGATTTTAACTAAACTTAAAGGGTTCGAAACGTCGAGAATTAAAATTAAAAATAAATGCGATAAATCCGTAAAATTACTTTCATTTATAATGTTTCTTTACAATAATTCTGTCTAAATTATTTCTTTTTTTAATGTGATAAGGTGGCAAGCGAGTAAATGATAACCGCCGCCCATGGATATACGCAACACCCGTCGGATTGCAGATGCATTGCCACCTTTTAATAAAGTGAGCCCGGCTATCTAATTCACCAGACAAACGCAGAAGTATAATTACTTAACGCCGGTCATCTGTGAGGTCGCGTACTTAAGGACGGTCATTTGTGCAACAACGAAGACTGTGGGTGCCAAATTTGTACAAAGTATAATACAAATACAACATGACAAAAGGATAAACTTATTTATTTATGATATTATGGCCTTCCTGACAGTTGGTATACCACATGAATATAACCTGGAATCCAAAGTTGTACTTCTAATTTGAGATAAGTACTCAATCTAAGCATTCGTTTAAGAACTTTCGAATACATCAAAATAGTATTATTTACGACAGTAAAATTATTGTATGATTTAATGGACAGGGTTTAATGGATTACTACGCCAACCTTAACAGGTGTTAATATATGAAAGGATAACGGGAATTGTGAAATGGATGCAGGCAAGAGATAGCTTTGTGGCTGGGACATTGTACTTGCTGTTTTGACATCACGAATTTATAACTGGAAACAAATCATACTAGATCCAGTTCTGTTTTCAGTTTTTGGATTTATTCTGATGTTGATTTTTTTTAAATATTCTCGAAGATGTTTACAAAATTATGTTTTTACTTTTATGCCGCATCACAAATGTCAATAAATTTGTTTTTTAATATTTCGCTCAGTTATTTTTTATTCAAACATTATATACTACTGAGTTAGAGCCATGTCTTTGTCTATTGCATGAATGGGCTAAGCTAAGTAAGTCCGGAAAGTATCACGACCTCACAGAAGACCGGCGAAAAGTCAACGTGTTAAATTTCCGAATTTGGTTCACCAGAGTATGTTATGTGTGCAAGTTTGCCACAAACAGGTGCGTTGACCGTCTCGATATTGCATGATTTCAATCACATGATTGCAATCACTTGGACTTCTTGACATGTAATTTATTTTAATTGTCCTTACATTCTTTTTCTTGTACTTCTTTTTACCTAGAAAATCACCACTCATTGCGCTTTCATTGCGCGTTCGGTGCCCTTTTATATTTATGGTGACGAATTTCAACCATCTTTTTATGTATGAAAGTTCAGAAAATCTAATTAAAGGAGAGTAAGTACTTCTTACAAGGATTTCAAACGAAGACGTTGACAATCAAGATGTCTATCGACTAATCGTAACAATATGAAAGCTGAGGATTTCACGTGAATTACGTTTTTCCAGAGATTTTGAAAGGTTCTGACAAGGGTTTTATTATGATTTTCAATATGATAATTAAAGTAATGCTTTATTGTAACAAGTAAAATAATAAAAGAATCGTATTATACAAATTTCTATTCGGAAATTTTCAAAAGCAAATAAATTTTACTTTTAGCTCCATCAGACATATTTTACCTTATATTGGATTTCTTTACCGGATGTTTTGAGCTCAGCTCAAAACTTGCGAACTT